GCGTCCAGCAGCTCCCTGCCAGCAAGGAGCAAGAGAAGAGAGAGAACAGAGGGGCTGGCTTCCTTGGCCTCCGCTCTGGAGACGGGTCCAGCCCGTTAGTGGGATTGGGGAAGAGGGGCCTTGTCTTGAAGGTTTAGATGAGAAGAACATGCAGAGCATGGAACCTAGGGGACAGCAGTATCTGAGGAACAGTGTCAGGGAGAGCAAGAGGGAGGGCTGGGGTTGACAGCAAGAAGGCAGCTGGCCCAAAGCACCGTGGACTGCATTCGGGTGAGATTGGCACTCCACACCAGCATGGCATGGTTGGCAGGAGCCACCCAGCATAGCATATGAAATTGGAAGCAGTGTATGAGTGTAAACAATGCCATAGAGATACTCGGGGCCTGACAGTGTGGGGAAAGGCTCTTTCTGGCTATGGCAGAGACAGCTAGAAGTATTGCGGGGGGCGGGAGGACAATGCTCGGAGGAAGAATGGGTTGCTGGGATTTCTTTTTGTCTTATTCTTCGGAGCCCAAGAACTGTGCACAGCAGAGGAAGCTGGGGACAGGGCTGTCCATGGCACTTCTCTTGGGAGCGCTCTTAGGGAGACACTCCGTTGGACACCTGTGTGACGCCTCTGTAGCACAGATCCCATAGAGTGGAGTCCATGGTACAGGTTCAGTCCCTGCTACCTGGCCATGACTTGCCCAGAGAAGCCCCCAGAGCAAAGATGCTGGGACCCGAGGTCTGCAGACCCTGCCCCCATATTCCACCGTTGACCTTGTGAGCCACAGGTCAGCACAGAGGTCCGCAAGGGTGCACACCTGCACCTGCCAAGCCCCAAGTTCTCACATCCTGTGCAGGATGTGCCCTCCCTCAGTGTGCTCAACTTTGGTTTCTTTTCTTTTCTTTTTTTTTTTCTAGTTGTTTGAGACAGATCTCACTATGTAGCCCTGGCTGGTCTGAAACTCATACATAGACCAAGCTGGCCTCAAGAATCAGAGATCTTCCACCTGTCTATAGGAGCCAAGGATTCTGGTGATTTTGTGGTTGAGGAATGTGTCCCCTTGGAGGTGACACTGTGCTAAGGTCTGAGAGGTGAACAGGGATAATCAGCTGGGAATGAGCCCCCCCCCCCACCACCGGCAGGAAGATGTGAATGTGTAGAGACCCTACAGGCAGAAACAGCTTGATGCTTAGTGAGCTGGCTAGATTGGAGATAAAGAGGGAGGGGTGAGTTCTTGGCCCCACCTGGCTTGGTGGATTCCACAAGGAATTTTGTCTATTTTTTTTTCTTTAGGCTTTTGGGGGACAGGGTTTCTCAGTATAATCCAGGCTTGCCTGGAATTCTCTATGTAGCTCAGGCTTGCCCAGAACTCATCATCTGCCTCAACAGCCTCCAGACTTCAACTATTACCTGGGCGCTAGCACACCTAGCTAAACTTTTAATTCAAGATTGAAATTGGCTCTTTTTTGTAAGTTTTACTCTCTGGTTAGACAAACCCTAGATTTTAGTTGTTAACTATATACTTAGACTATACCCACAGAAAGGTGGGTACACACCATGTCACTAATGATTACGAGAAACAACATCGTGTGGTTCCCGGGGCTGGGGGAGCCTTTGGCATCAAAACCAGGGAAACATGATCAGACCTGGCAGGGGCAGGGAGTGGGAGAGGAGGATCAGCGGCCTGTGTGTCAGCCAGAGCCAGCAGGTCCCGCTTTGCCCATGCATGCTCAGGCTGGTGGCGGGTAGAGGGTGAGACAAACAGACTAGCTCAGGGCTGGGGCTAGGCTGCATTTAGAGGCCTGGGTACACAGGGCTGGGAAAGTGACCTGGGGCCTCTGCCTGCCCCTCCAGCCCTTCTCAGTGCCTCTCTGGCTGCTGGTGCTGTAAAGGGTGTTTGAGTCATTCATGCTGTGTCTTTAAGAGGGAGGCTACTGGGCCTGTGAATCTGTCCTTCCTGCCGCTGACGTCAGGACTGGGAAAGACTGAGAAGAAGATTCGATTTCCTTTTCTTTGAAAAGGGAGGAGATTGAAACTGAGTGGCCCCTGATGAAAAGAGGGGAAGTCCTGGGCTGCAGGAGCCCCTTGTGTGAAGGCGGAGGCTAACATGGGGTGAGCGAGGCACATTCTATAGAGAGGCAGAGAGACACTGGCCCTTCTGCTGCATGCCACCAATTGCGTGAATGTGTTTTCGTCCTTTCCTGCCTCTGACTGCTCAGGGGGACACCTGTGCTTCTGGTCCTGTCTTAAATGCTTGTTCTGGTTGGTGAAGGCTCCAGTTTTGGAAGCCTGGAGTGTGGGGGCCCTGTCCCTAAGTCTGTCCCTTGGCTGAGAGGCCCTGTTGTGGCTGTGAGCTGGAAGCCTCATGTAGGGTGGAGTGGCACCTACATCCTTCCTCTCTGACCTCAGAGGGGCAGATGTTCTGGAGTTCACACTTGGAATGTGCCTGTTGCAGTTAGCAAACATTTGTCTGTTATTAGGATCCAGTGTGGGCCCAGGGACTATGGGAGGATAACTGGGGGCCTTGTCTGCTATCGGGAACCATTTGGGGGAAGAGATAGACTTCCAGATTATGCGGTTGCTGTCAAAGGGCAACCTCTATTCTGTGGGTGCCTGGGTAGGGCAGGGAGGCAGCTTCTTCCAGAAAGTACTGCTCCCTCCATTTAGCCACCCCGGGATGGACCCATGCTAGTTAACCATGGAGCAGCCCTGGATGTCACACAGCCTGCAGTGAGCTGAGCTGGGGTTCCTCAGCACTTGGCAGCCTGTTTGACTCTGATCCCATCCTACCTGGCTTGTGGCATATGCCTGACAACCATAAGCTGCTGGCTTGGTAGGGGAGGACAGGGTTGTAGGTAGGAAGATACAGGGAGCAGACATGGGGAAGGGGAGCTTTACATCCCTGCTGCCTGTGTGAGGAATTGGGCTGAAACAGATTTCTACCACATAACTGGGAAGTCTCTTAGAGTCTGTGTTGCTGAGAAGGGTGCCCTTGGGAGCAGTGAGGTGAGGATCGTTGGTCATAGGAAGGAGTAAAAGGTGGTTACAACGAGCTCTTTGGCAGGTTTGGAGCGACTGTCGCCATTGGCCTGACCATCTTTGTGTTGTTCATTGCCACCATCATCATATGCTTCACCTGTTCCTGTTGCTGCCTGTATAAGATGTGCCGCCGACCACGCCGTAAGCTTGCCCTTCCCTACCTTGTCTGCCTGTGCCCCTCCCTGCGTGAACATGCTGATCCCAGAGAGGGCAAGGGTTGCTGACCAGGAACCTGTTTGGGCTAAGCTGAAGGGATGGATGGGCAGGCCTGGCCTCTCCTGGCCTAGAGAGCCATAAGGTTTTGACTAATCAGGATTCTCTTTGCAGCTGTCGTGACCAACACCACAACCACCACCGTGGTTCATACCCCCTACCCTCAGCCTCCAAGTGTGGCCCCCAGCTACCCTGGACCAACGTACCAGGGCTATCATCCCATGCCTCCCCAGCCAGGAATGTCAGCAGCACCCTACCCAACGCAGTACCCACCACCCTACCTGGCCCAGCCCATGGGGCCACCAGCCTATCATGAGACTTTGGCTGGTAAGTACCACTGTGGGTACCCTGCATGACTCCCCATCTCAGGCCTCTGCCCCTAGGGTCTCTTCCTGCTAGCTTGCCTGCCCATTTACATTGCAGCCCAATGTCCCCACAGCTAACCTGTGTCCTCTTTACTTTCAGGAGGTTCAGCTACACCCTACTCTGCCAGCCAGCCTCCATACAACCCAGCCTACATGGAGCCCCCAAAGGCCGTCCCCTGAGCCTGCCTCCCACCTCTCTGACTGCCATTTGATTATGTCATGTGCGAGTGAGTGGTGTGTGGAGCTCTCTGCTGTGGTGTGTGTGCCTTGTCTAAACATGTGGCTTCCTCTGACACTGACCAGGTAGGCACAGATCCTTACCAGTGTGGGGTGGGACCAACCTGCTTTCTTCCTCACTTGAAATTAGACTTTCTGAAGTCTCAAGTAAACTAAAAACATTGGGGGGAGGTATTTCCCAGTTCACCCCAGGGTGACCAACCATGGCCTGTCATACTTGGAGAGTAAGCTTTTTGTGGGCACATGTCCTACTCTGGGGAGTAACCAGCTAGCTGCTGCTCAGGGCCATGGCTTGTCCCCAGGGCTTGGCTGCATTTTGCAGTGAGGCAGGTAGGTGGGCAGAACAAGGGGCCTGGCTGAAGCTCGGTGCTATGGGTCAGCTCCTGATGTCAAAGCACAGCAGGCAGAGCCTCATCTACCACCACTTGTTGTCTGAACTACTCAGTATCTTCCCTGGGACTCTGTAGAGGGCCATGTGCACTTGCTACTCAGTGGGGATACTTTTCAGCCTTTGCTGGCCTGGCTCCTGCCACTAGGCAAGGGGTCTCTGTCCACCTCACACTCCTGTTTCTCTCTGCAGTATCTTGTTTTACTTTTAGCCAAACATTTTGCCTGTTTTCTGTCTCCAGATGTGTGATAGTTGGTGTGAGATTGAAATCCCTGGTTCCTGACCTCTGAGTCTGTTTCCCTTGACACCTGACTCCTGTAGAACAGTCCAGTTTGTCCTGGCAACAGGGACACCAGGGCCAAGGGGCTATCTGGACCAAATGGGGGTGGAAGACCCAGATGGTAGCTCTGGCCCAGACATGAATACCTCATCTCGGTGTTCCCTGTTGGTTGCCGTTCCACCAGCTGCCCTAGCTTTGTGTCTATTGGTGTGTTTCTGAGCATCCAGGCTCTGCACCCTTGTTTATAATAAATGCAAACATTTGGACCCATTTCCTCTTCCTTCAGAGCCTGGCTGCTAGCCTTTGCTATACACCAAATACTGTTCCTATCTACTTCTTGAACTTGTTTTTCCCCTACTTTTATTAGCCTAGCAGGTTTGATTGTCCCACTCTTAGCAGGACAGAAACTGTGCCTTGTCCTCAGGGCCCTGAGTATGGGCAGAGGCCCAGGCTGAGAAGAAGTGGATCTGACAAGTACCAGTCAGTGCTGTAAGAGGTCTTTATTAATCAGATTTCCTTCTTGACTTACTGCCCAGGGGAGGCCAAGAAGAGTCCATACAGCATGGCTACTGCCAAGGTCAGACAGGCCAGCAGGCCCAGTGGGGCCAGAAGCTCCTGTGATGGGGCTTCTGGGACCTTTGCCGGAGGAAGACTCTTGCGTTGCCTGCTCCTGCCATGGCTGGGACTTGTGTTGGTTGTGGCCAGGGATGTAGTGGCCGTGGCAGCATATGGTCTTGGGTTGGTTGTTCCAGCAGTAGTTGCAGTATCATACATGGGCTTGATGGTGCTAAAGGGCCGGGCATGTTTATCCACCCACTGCAACAGGGCCCGTGGCTTCCACTGACAGATGCTGAGCAAGGCTAGAACGTCGCCTTCAGCAGTGTGTGAGTCTGTTGGTGCTTGCCCATACAGGCGGGTGTAGATGCTTCCCAGGCTGTAGCTTTTCCTCGGACCATGCTCGGAGGGGCTGCTAGATCGTTCCAAGGCCTTTAGGGCAGCAATGCTATCCACACAGAAAGTACCATCTAGAGGACTGCCAATGCTCAGCATAGCAAGCTCTGCCTGGAGCAGGGGAAAGTCATAGCGGTCACCATTGTGTGCCACAAGGCAGCAGGGCTGTGGCTGGCGCTGCAGGAAGGCATGGAGCAGGTTGGCCAAGTTGTCGTCGAAGCATTGACGCCCATTGATTTCCAGCTCAGCTGTGTTAAGACCTGTGATCTCACTGGCTGCAGGGCTACAAGCTTTCCCTGGAGCAATGCATAGAGAGAGCTTGTCCACCACACGAGGTGGTTTGGGCACTGGCGGTGGCTGCCCCCCAGAGATGGAGGTGTTTTCCAGGGCATATCTGTGGACAGCCAGCAGGCACAGCTCTGTGACCTTGGGCTGAGAGAAAGGCAGGCCAGTGGCTTCTAGGTCCAAGAAGATGAGGGTCTGCATGGGACCATGGGGCAGAGCATGTGAGCCCATGCTGATCCTGGGGAGGAGCATGGGGTAGATGAGTGCCAGCAGAATCTCAAGTGGGCAGAGACGGGGATAGGGATAGGGTGTGGGCAAAAGCACAGCTCAGACCTTCCCTTCTGTCAGGCACTATCCAGGGCCCATTTTCAGAGCAGGAAGCTAGAAGACAGGCCTGTTTTCCTAGGGGATTGGGCAAACTGCTATCCTTTTGAGGGAGGAGCCCTTCCCCTACTGCTGACCACCTTTGGAGTGAGGGAAACTTATCCTTTTCCGTCTTACCCCATCCCCTTAAGGTCCACACTTACCGAGAAGCAGGCAGCAAGGCACCGTGTTGGTTCTGCTGCTGGCAGCAGGGGCTCAGGAAGTAAAACTGCCTGGATCCGCCTCTAGGCCTACCTCCTGAACAAGGCCCGCCCAGCTAGCCAGCCTGCTAGGCCTGGCCCTCATTTGCTAAAGCCCTCCCTTCTCTCCTAGCACCCCAAAGGCCTTAGATCCTCCGCTGTGATTCTGCTGACTGGTGAAACAGACTAGTGCTCCCGCACTGACAACCCACTTAACCTAGGTTTGTCCCATGGACTCAAGCATGCTTGCTAGTCTCTGCCATGACTCTCCTTGCCTTTCCCGTCTTTGGCCCACTTTCCCAGGCCTTCCTAGGAAAAGGCTGCCTTCCCTGCTACACAACCAAGTTTTCTTCCCATGGCCCCAGCCAAAAGCTATGACTCAGGATAATTCCCAAAGAGAGGCAGGGTTTCTCCTCAAGGCGGATTAGTCACCAAGGAGACCATCTCAACTCCTGTAGGGGAGGGAAAGGGAGGCACCTAATCAAGCTACTTCCTACTCTGCCCTGTCCCTCCCTCAGCCACACAGATTGTACTCCGGAACAAAGCTGTTGTCTTCGCAGGAACTGCAGTTTTAATCAGTGGATAGGCAAAGACAGTGGTGGGAGCTGGTGCCACCTTGTGGCCAGACTCTCAGGCCCTCAGCTACAGTCCATTTCAGAGTCTTCCAAATCTGTCTCCGCAGCACAGAGGTCATCCAGGGCTGCCTCTGCACCAAAAGGAAGGGGGTTCTGAGGTTAAGCCTGATGGTGCTGAGGTTTGGGAGTTCTACCCATCCCCCTAACAACACGGGAACTAACCAGTCTCTTCCATACCCAGGCTTTGCTCCCTCAGCTACTGTGGGCAAAAGTGATACAAAAGCAATTCGGACAGATATTTCTAGAAAAACCATGGCTCAGCTAGGGCAATTCAATAGACATTATCAAAGGGGACAGCCTAGCATACTCAAAGAACCAGGCAGGAAGGTAATGTGGCAGGAATGGCTCTGGTGGTAGGGGAGCCCCACTGAAGTCCAGCAAAGGAGTCTGACAGTTCATGGTCAAGGCACATGAAGGCTAGGACAGGGTTCTCTTGCTGGCTTACCTTCACAGTCAGTCACATCAGGAAGGGCTCGAATCAGCATACTGACCCCTGGCATCACCTGGTCATACTGATGCAGGACCTCTACACAATGCACAGTAAAGAGCTTGTCCGTCTGAGACAGGCTATGCAGCAGCAACACAGTATCTCGCAGACAGCGTACTGTCTGCTTCTGCTGGCGGGTCCTTGGGCCCCCTGCCCGCCGCACAGTCAGCCATTGTCTGTGCAGCATCACGGTGAGCACTCTGACTGCCTAGAGTAAGAGAGGGCAGAGACTGAGGTCTAATGACTTACTCATTAGCCATTTCAGGGGGCAGGACATCTCTACCCACGTTGTTGTACCATGTCGTTAGCCCCCGGCCACTTACCTCTACATTGCATTGGCAGTCAGAACCAATGCCTGGCGGGAAAGGGCTCTGCACACTCAGCTTGGCCAAGAGCCATACCACCTGGAACAAGAAGAGACGGTTCATCCCATGCAGAACAAACACAGCCACCAGGGCTCTCACAGGCATTTCTAGGCTCTCACTACTTCTCCACTGCTTGCCTGCACAAGTGGGGTCTGAGGCTTTCAGACCTGAATCTCATCAACAGCTCACCCACTTCTGGGACCAGGATCTGGCCCCAAAGCGCAGGCAGCATTGTCAGGCAACTCTGCTGAGTCCATTGTAATCCTGGTACATTTGTATTGCATCTGAGTAAGGAACCCCTAAATTTTACTTGTTGTCCTTAGATAATCAAAATTAACTGTCACTCCCATTTTCCCACAGGAGGAAAGGAGACCCTGGGCTCTTAGGAGGGTTGGAGGGTGCGCAGTCTCACCTCTTGTTCCAGCTGAAGCCACTGTGTCTCTGAGGCCACTTTGTCAGGCCTTGATGTAATGTACATGTACAGCCGCAGGAGAAGGCAGCCTTCTGAAAAGGATGGCCAGCCTTACTCAGGGTCTCCCTTCTCATAGCAGCCTGGGGTCCAAGTGCAGAAGCCCTTGCGAGCCTCTGAACCTGTCCCTGCTCCAATCCCTCCCTCCCTCCCTCCCGCTTCAGGATAGTTGAGACCCAGCCTGCCCTGACTTACCTGAGTTGGAGCACAGCTGCTGTGCAAGGCTGTCATGGTCCACCAGAACAGAGAGCAGCTCAACAGCTAGCAGCACACATGGCAGTGGCAGCTCTGAGCTGAGGCACTGTGGCAACATCGGCAACACACAGGAGAACCTGAAGGATGGGCACAGTTAGGACATTCTCCAAAAGGACACTTACTGCAGTGAGACATGGTTTCAAATGCTGGCCTGACCATAGCCTACTTGCTTCAAGACTGTCACAGGTAGACAGGTATTAACCTTTAAAAATGACAGGCCTTCAGTGGGGGGCAGGGTACATGTCTATAATCTCAGTACCTGGGAGGCAGAGGCAGGATTCACCACACGATGAGTTGGAGGTGAGCCTGGCCTACATGCAGACGAGTCTTACCACTGTATCACAACCCTCATTCACCCTAAAGAAGATAGGCCTTATGTGGCTTTTTATCAAGTAAAGGGACAAGACTCCTTGGATCTGGGCTGCATGATCACACCCCAGGCCCTTTCCTGCATTTGCTCTCAAACAGGGATGTAGGTCCATATCTTCAGCATGAGAAATGTCTTTTGTCTCATACCACAGGAATGGCCAGGGCTTTAAAAGTAACAAGGATGTGCAGCTGTCTTATGAGGTCATTCATAGAACAAAGAAAGCCATTTTTCTGCACTTGTCAGAAAACACTGGTCTGTTACCAGTGTGAAAAGGTACCTACTACGGGGTACACAGTGTGCATGTGTGAGAGAGAGGCTGGGCAGTGGTGGTGCACACCTTTAATCCCAGCACTCGGGAGGCAGAGGCAGGCGGATCTCTGTGAGTTCGAGGTCAGCCTGGTCTACAAGAGCTAGTTCCAGGACAGGCTCCAAAGCTAGAGAAACCTTGTCTCAAAAAAAAAAAAAGAAAAGAAGGAGAGAAACAGGGAGGAGAGAGAATGGATATGAATGTTATTTCCCCTTAGGTCTCAGAGACAAAGAGAGATGGCTATGGCCAAGGAACGAGGTCCCAAGGACTAGATTTGCTCTACCCACACAAGGGAGAAGTGATAGGGTGAAAGAGAGGCCACCTAGGACCGAGGCTTATATCTGCAGCAGTCTGCACATACAGGGCATCTCAGCACAGAGCATAGAGCGGAGACTGCCTATCTGTGTCACTAGAAAGCAAAGGTTCACACTCTTTTTATAACACATTCTTGTTTTTTCCTTTTTTTTCTGTGTGCATTGGTATTTGCCTGAATGCATGTCTGTATGAGGGTGGTGGATGCCCTGAAACTGGAGTTACAGAATTGTGACCGCTGCCATGTGGGTGCTGGGAATTGAACCAACTGAACCCAGGGACCTCTGGAAAAGCAAGTGCTCTTTTTTGTTTTTTCGAGACAGGGTTTCTCTGTGTAGCCCTGGCTGGCCTCAAACTCAGAGAGCCATCTGCCTCTGCCTCCTGAATGCTGGGACTAAAGGTGTGCACCACCACCACCCTGCATAAGTAGTGCTCTTAACCACTGAGCCATCTCTCCAGCTTTCGTTTTACAGCACATTCTACAGACAAGAAATTGGGCTTCAAGTTGACAGGTACTGTTGATCTCTGGGAAAATGGAGTTTAACTTAGTTGCTTTCTGGCCTAACTATTCCTATCTATCCCACTATGGCCATTGAACGTACCTGGAGAGATTTTATCTTTGGTTTCCAGTGTTTTTTTCTTCCCTCCCGTATCTGTAAAAACTTCTTTTACAATGTTAAGCTAGATATGGGGGCGCACACCTGTAATCCCAGAACTCGGAAAGCAGAGGCTGGTGGATCTCCGCGTTCTAGGCCAGACTGGTCTACTGAGTGAGTTCCAGGCCAAGTTGGGGGGGGGGGCGTATATAATGAGACTGTCTCAAAAAGGAAACAGACAAGTTACACATAGCACCAGTCTAGAAAACTAGATGAATCCAGATCTCCAGGTGAGGGGTTTTCAAGCTGGGAGGCAGTGCCACTGAGCAGACTGTAGGGTTCTCAGCTACTTACACCTGCTCTGCAGCTCTGATAGCATCCACCCTGGCTTTCACTAGAGGGCAGAGAGGAAGCTGTGCAGTTCATCCCGAGCACATGAATACAATGAAATCTACAGAGAAGTATTTTGTGGGGGGCTCTGTCTGAAAGTGATGGAGCAGTGGCTTATAATAATAACTGGCTCGGGACTGTCCCATCAATGTACCCTATGGCATTTTGACAAGCTTTTCTACTTCAACATAGGGCTTATTTAACAAACACTGACTGAGCATTTAGACTGAGCCAGGCTCTGTGTGAAGTATAGAATCCAGAGTCTCCAGGACTGTCACCTGAGCCAGTGAATGAAACACTTGTATCTGGCCAGTAGAAGCATCCATTACATGAGAGTTATGAATATCTGTGGGTCAACAGAACAGGAGCACAGTGAGGGGTCTGCTAACAGAAATGGGAAATGTGGTTTCTGGGATTCATCTTTAAGCACAGAGGAAACAGGCAACTATCCAGTATAAGTTGGGCCTGTGGATGGCAACTCTGCCCCATGTATTGTCTATACTGTACTGAAGTGCTCTGTTCAATTTCATACATCACTTTGGGACAGATAAAACATGACCCAGAAGCACTTTTAAGAAATAGGAGGGGGCTGGAGAGATGGCTCAGTGGTTAAGAGCATTGCCTGCTCTTCCAAAGGTCCTGAGTTCAATTCCCAGCAACCACACGGTGGCTCACAACCATCTGTAAAGAGGTCTGGCGCCCTCTTCTGGCCTTCAGGCATACACACAGACAGAATATTGTATACATAATAAATAAATTAAAAAAAAAAAAGAAATAGGAGGGCTGGAGAGATGGCTCAGAGGTTAAGAGCACTGACTGCTCTTCCAGAGGTCCTGAGTTCAATTCCCAGCGACCACATGGTGGCTCACAACCATCTGTAATGAGACTGGTGTCCTCATATG